CTGCCTCTGAGCCACAGCCGCCCGGTGAACATCCCCCTACCAGCTTAGGCATTTATGAGTCCATCATTTATGATGGAGGTTGGCACAAAGCTCAACATGGCCCACTTAGTCCTAAATGGTTGTGACCTGTATCTGTGGCCTGAAGGTTAGTGGCTGCATTGGTTATGTAGCACGTTTGTGGAGTCCAAGGCTACTTGCAGTCCTTTCATTTTAGCCCATTAGCCTGGCCTAGTCCATGTAGTGTTTGTAGTATCAGTATCATTAGTGTGTAACACCGTGGTTCATGTTGTGTTTCTGTAGGAGACTCCCTGAGTTATCACAATGGACAGAATTTCTCCACCTTCGACAAAGACCAGGACAATTGGTCGGCCAACTGCGCCAAAACATTCCTGGGTGCCTTCTGGTACAATGCTTGCCACCGTGCCAATCCCAACGGGGTTTATCGTTGGGGGGCTGACAAGACTCTCTATGCTCTTGGAGTGGAGTGGGCTGAATGGAAGGATCATGACTACTCCCTGAAATCCATCAGCATGAAGATCCGTCCTGTGCATTAAATTTTCAGGACCAGCGTACAGCAGAATATCAACTGATGATTTTTCTCTTTTCTCTCTCTCGTACATAATCTCACATCATCTTTAGATACAGTGGTGGCTGGTCAATAGAGGGCGATAGGGCACTTCCCCAGCACTTTCCACATCCTAGACCTACATTGAATAATACTTAATTACTTTGATTCTTTTTGAACGAGCTTGGTAGATATATAGTTAGTGAGTAAAAATGTATAATCTGCAACACAAAATGTAGATTAGAAATGTTGTACATTGTCTAAAGTTACATATTTCCGGTCTGAAAAAACCCATTAAAGTTTTACATGCGCAGTTCACTCTTCTTAATACGAGAGATGGGAGCTTTTGGGGGCACATGCTACTGCTTTTATCTGAATCCTGCTGATGTACACATCACCAACCAATGTTGACAATAGTATCTACTGCACTGACCTCTGCCTTGTATCTATCCTGTCCTCTGTAACTTAGTATTATTGTCAGATAGACTCAAATCTTTAACAGTCTCTGAAGCACCATTAGTGTAAAATTATTGGACTCATGAAATAAAGTTAATATTAATAATATCATTATTGTTTCTATTATATGAATCAAACAGACAGTACAGACCTCTGACCTGTATCTACAGCACTGACCATTTATCTGAATGCTGCTGATATGACCACCAAACACTGGGTGGCAGCATAGAGCGACTGGCTTGTTGTACATCGGATGTGCCTGAATGAGTTGTTGAGAATAGAGCTGGAGCAGCATTTTGCAATAGAAAATATAGTTATTACAAATAAAGCCTTTTTAGAGCATCACAAGAGCAGTTCAAAGTCAAAGAGCTTGGACGTATTCAGCCTGATATCATAATGCTCTGAGTAAAAGTACCAATACCACACTGTGGAAATACTTCATCATATTCTATCATCATATCATCATATGTTTGTAGCATCACTGTCCTGTGAGAACCACGTATCTCTAAAACTCAACTTTTCATGAGCTGAGTAAAATACAAAAGGCCTATTTGTTTACTTAAATACACTAGTGTGATACCTCAGCAGCGCCCCCTGGAGAAAAATTCTACTGGTGCCACTGTTAAGAAAAAGATTTCATTAACTGTTTACACAATTTATAGCAAAGGAAAACATAAAACTCAACAGAGAACAACAGAGATGCTGGTGGAGGTATGAAACCCTAATGTAAATCATTATCTGCTGGATGCTGACAATAAATAAGAAACTGAGCAGAAAGCTGATGTGATCTGATGTCTTCACTTTGTCTCCTGTGTCTTTGTCTGGATGTTCTCTGTTTCCTGCCCCTGAAGAAGGTGGAGTTGTAGTTTGTCACTGTGACCACTAGAAAAACTGAAATGATCATGAATCGCTGCCCTCTAGTGGTCACAGTGACAAACTACAACTCCACCTTCTTCAGGGGCAAAAATATTCATATTAATACTTAGTGTTATTACAGGTATCAATACTGGTATTAATAGCCATGCTAATGTCAATAATCACTGAATATACACTCAACAATATGAACCATTTAAACTGCTTCATATAATTAAGCACAGCGTTAGTTTAGGCAGGCCACAAAGTCAAGCTCAGCTCTCAATTCCAGCTATATCAGCTGATCACAGCTAGTCGTAAACACACATCAGCTGACAGCTCAGCTGATTCCCTCAAGCATCCAATTGGCAAATATCATTAGATTAGTTTAGATTAGATAGATACTTTATTCATCCCCAAGGGGAAATTCACAGTTTCCAGCAGTATCCACAAACTGATAATAATAACAACAACAACCAAAGAGGCAAAATGCAAAAGAACCAATAAAATCAAAATAATAAAATAAAATAAATAGCTAAATAACGAGCACTGGGTGAGTGTCCTAAGGTGCCATGGTGAAATCCAGTGCTGGAAAAGGCCTAAGGGTGCATAAGTAGGTTGGTCACCAAAAATGCAGGGTGCACTTGCGTCGGGGGTATATTTGAGTACAGGGCAGACATATTGGAGTTCAGAGTTTTTCGGTTTTTCCCCCCCGGGTGGTGAGTTGAAGAGCCTAATGGCATGGGGGAGGAACAATCTCCTCAGTCTTTCAGTGGAGAAGGACAGTGACCAGCAGCCTGTCGCTGAACTGCTCCTCTGCCTGTAGATGGGCTGTGCAGTGGATGCAGTGGATTGTCCATGATTGACAGAGACCTGTTCTGCGCCCGTCGTCTGCCACAGATGTCAGGTTGTCCAGCTCCTGTGCCCCAACAGAGCCCCGCCTTCCTTACTAGTTTGTCCAGATGGGAGGCATCCCTTCTTCTGCTGCCTCCCCAGGCACCTAAGGCGCCCTTATTTAATATGGAAGCCGAGAACGCCATCGGATTTTTCTTTTTTTTATCACTTGTTCTTCTCGTGATAACGCAGCACTGTATTCATCTCGTTATCTCCGACTATAACAAAGATTGTTTTCTCGTGATAACGAATTTAATTTATTGCGTTATCGTCGACATAACAAAGATCGTTTTCTTCAAAATCGAACGAGTTCATTAATATGTGTTCGTCTTGATTTTAACCTACAAGAGCTGCCACGAAACGGCTTCTGTAGCCACTGGCTGTAGCTGTAGTCTACCGGCAAGTTACACTTTACGTTAGTTTGTTTACGTTGACTGGGTTTGTTTAGGGGCTACCGGTTAGCAGATGAGAGGCTGAACAACACTCCTACTCTACGGCTGCTTCAGCTAAGGTAACATAAATGTAGGCTAACGTTAACTTAGCAATGTAATGTGAAACATAATTAAATGTTTATTAATTCATTTAATAGTGCTTTGATATGTGTCGTGTTTATTATTATGGTTTGTGGCACAGCATTACAATGGTCAACTCAAAATGTGGCTATTAAAAATTCAGAAGAACTATGACAACCCTTTTGTATAAGGGCCAGCAGTCAAGAATTGAATAACTTTGTTGCATCTGCTAACAATGACTACATTTACTGTTGAATTCTATAGATCCCCATGGACCAGTCTCTCTCAGCCTTGAGAGAAAGGGGTTTTCCTGAGGAGAACCTGGCAAGAAGACCTAAGTTAATACTGGTAACTACTAAATTGCAGCAAAGGTTGGACACACACCTTTGCTGTTAAAAACAAATAAACAAAAACAGCTATGACCAGTGTAAGAATAGAATAGAATAGAAACTTTATTTTTCTAAAACCAATGGGTAACATAAATTTATCTTAATTTATCACAAGAGGTTTGTGTAATGTAGTTGGTATCAAGCTGGTTGAACTGGTGGCTCAGTTGGTGTCCAGCTGAAACCAGCTAATGTCATTGTGGTTGTAGTGGAGAAACTACTAGTAATGTTCAGACTGGGCATTAGTTCAAGGTTTATCACCAGGTTCACACGGTGTGTAGGCTAGAACACCAACATGCCTTGTGAACTTGTCCATGGTCTTGCTGACACTTGCTGATATACTCACCTCTACACGTCAAGACCACAGTAAGTCCAGATTCCTGGCCAGTTAACAGCCAACAAGAAAGCGGCGCAAACGCAGTCTTTGAAAATCAAATAGAAGCAGTAGTGGTAGCTGAGATGGAAGAAGATATTATTCACATTGTGGATTCGGAGCAGGCTTCAAGTTCCACCAGCACGATGGCCATTGATTTCTTTGCAAATCCAGAGAATATAGTGGAGAAGCAAGTCATTGTGATCCGCAAAGCACACTGTCTTGTGGATATGATTGAAGCATTTACAGACAACTGCATAATGGATGCTAATATTTCAATCAGTCATGTGCCTGAACGTGTCAAGGTTGAGGCTGGAGTTGGGAGTGGAGTCACCAGAGACTGCCTCACTGGTTTCTGGGATATGTTTTATGCAACAAAGACCTGTGGAACCAACTACAAGATCCCAATTTTGCACCACAAATTCCAAGAGAAAGAGTGGACTGCTGTTGCTCACTACCTTTGAGCTTGGGGAGAAAATCACCTGGAGCCAGGTCAGGTGATTAGGGAAGTTTGTTTTAGGATTGTTTCCTATTCCCAAAGCTCAAAGGTGTCATCAAGGGGACACGTTTCCAGACGTGGAACCATCAAAAGGGCGAATCTGTCCAAGACTGTATGGAGGCAGAGAAGTATGGGAAAGTGCGTTCGACTTTCGAGTTTGTAGTTTAGATATGAAATGCATTTTTTGTGACCCCAGTCCTGTTTCTTTTTTGATGCAATGATTTACATTAGGGTTTCAAACCTCCACCAAACAGTGCTCAAACTAGTTAGTTTGACTTTAAAGCTGAGTGTGTGTTTAGTTGCAGCCAGCAGACTAAAGATAACATCTTAACCAGCAGAGAATCATTTCTCTACACCAACAGCTGTTTGACTGAATACTTTACACCCAGCAGCCGCTCAAACACAATCAAATTTTTATTTAAGGTGGAAATACTTATGTCAACTGTTCAGACTCTCTTTGTCTGTTAGATAGTGTGATATTATGTACTAGAGAGAGAGAAAAGAGAAAAATCATCATTTGACATTCTGCTGTACGTTGGTCCTGGAGAACTACTGCACAGGACGGATCTTCATGCTGATGGTCTTCAGGGAGTAGTTAAAGCCCTTCCAAGAATACCACTCCACTCCAATATCATGGATGGTGCTGTCAGCCCCCCAACGATAAACCCCATTGGGGTTGGTACGGTAACACGTATTGTACCAGAACTCCCCCAGACCTGATCTAGCACAGTCCTACAGAAACACAACATGAATCACAGTGTTACACATTAAAGATGCTACAGCCCAGTTCATACTCCATGATTTCAGCCCTGATTTTTCACTCGCCTATTTTGAGAGATCGCTGACAAATGCTCCCTGACTGCATTGTGTCAAGGACATGATCAGAGGGCTCAACAAGAGCCTTGTAGAAACTTCAAAAATATCTAGCAGGCTAAAGCTCTGGTGGAGTCAGGTAGCAACAAGATAATGACAGCCAGTGAGAGCAGTTTTTTTCCAGCACCAGAAAACCAAGGTACTAACTAGTGGTAACTACTATGGTAATGATAACAACCGTGTTTGTTCATGAAGCCTGGTGTTACTATTCTGTGGTTGATAAGTGAAATGTGTTAACTGCTTTGCAGACTGGAGTCTCTGAATATCAGAAAAACAACTTCTGCTATCACTAACTCACCTGCCCCTCCATCGGTGAATCCAGATACATGCAGTCTGTATCCGTGGGACTCTGGGTCGATGGAGAATGAGGAGTAACAAGCAAACACTTTATTTCCCTCAAAGTCCTCCATGTCAACCAGCACCTCGTACTTTTTCCTAAGAGTCAGGTGGAAGAGATTCTCAAGACCTGGAAACAAACACACAAACACAGAAACATCTAGAAACAGTTTCAGGAAGTCACACGACTGTTACTTTGGTTCCATTTCTCACCGAGCCAGTACTCTCCAGCAGCGCTACCGAAGCCCGTCTTGTACTGGTCCCAGGCTCTGTAGAAGTTCACTGAGCCGTCCATCCTCCTCTGGAACACCTGGATGGGTGTAAATCATATTTTACTAACATGATTTATTGTGAAGGTCCGACAGGAAGTGTTCACACTGGAGGTCACTTGTTTGTGACTCATTGACGCTGACTTCAGTTAAAATAGTACTAAGTAATATAATACTTAAGAATCTTTGTCACACATGACTTTAAAACATTATTTTCCCCCACTACTATTTCACCTGAAACAAGATATATATATATATATATATATATATATATATATATAGTATGTTATTATTTATGTTTTTATCACACTATTACTCATAATTATTATAGCTTTTTTATCATTTATTGTACTTTTACACTTTTGCTATTATTCAGTCCCTCCAGAAAAACGCGATTATGCTATAATTCAATGCATAATCAGCCAAAGTCTGCATATTTATGCGGGGGCCGCAAAATATGCGGGGCTTGCATGATTTCATAATCCCCGCATTTTCGTTGCAAAAAAGTCACATATGTTTCTTCGCAGAAAGTTGAAAAATGTTGCGTTTACT